ATACGTGATAAACACCTGTTCCCTGCCACAAGAAGCGGGTTTAAGACTAAGATGCTCTTTGTGTGCGGAGGCGGCATTGATCGCTCGCGCTCGATAGGTGCTGCTGGCTGTGTTTACAACAACCTGCCGCCGACGGTTTCCACCGAGCCAGAGAGCACGCCAAAAGCTTCGGACCGCCTTAATCGGGGAGTTTCGCGTGCAAGCTTGCACGAACTTGCCTAAAATCAACGCAAATCCTTCTCTATTTCCCTATGGCAAATATGGTCTCCGCGTTCTACGAGCAGTATTGGCCGCGTATCAGGGTAGGCAGAAACGCAAACAGCGGTAATGTTTGAGCACTAGTAGCATAAGCGTCAAACTCAGCGTCACGTGCAGCATCAACAACCGCTTCATGCGTAACAGCATCATTGGCAGCAACAGCAGCCGCAGTATGAGGGACAACAGCATGAAAAGCATGGGGAACAGCAGTACGAAGGGTACCAACAGAAATAAGGGTGTGCGTTGGTTGTAAGCAAGTAGGAAAAGATGGCAACTTTTTCGGGTCGATGGATTTTGAGGTTTCTGCAGGAGCACGAGAGCTCTTCCCCATCTTGGAAACGCTTGCCGAAGTTACAATCCAATCCAATCCAAAGAACCGGCAGAACGTTCCTGTGTGTCAGCCAGCAGGAGCAGCAGCAGCAACAGCAGGAGTGGTGGCAGCCGTAAGAGCTAGAGTGACAGCTCAAATTTGAAATCAACAAGAATATTAAATAAGAGAAAAGGGGAGACCTGGATTTTAGCAACGAGCTAATGCGCACACCTCCTGTTGATGAGGACTTCGCAGGCACGCGTCCGCGAAGTTTTGATCATCGGGCCTAAGAACAGCTGCAGAACTCTTGCTGCAACCCTGTGCCCCTATGAAGGACATAGATACATTACCTCCTTTTACCTGTTGACCAGAAGGGCACATCTGAAATGTCAACTGGAAGGCTGAGTGCTGGTTATCTTGGGTCATTTCCAAACCCGCGTTCTTCCTTCGCAGCTACGGGGATGCGCAGGTAGTCAATCATCTTTGCGAGTTCCAAACCTCATGTTGTTGCTTACCTCCCCGCAGCAGAGCCGTTACCGATTGCCGCTCTCAACGGAGCAATTCTACTATGAATTATTGATATAGCCACTCCGAGCTTGCCATTAGGCTTCCGTCCGCTAGCTAGTGACACTTTTCGATGTATCGCTTTGTCGATATCTTCCTTCGTTTAGGTTTTCCTACCTTTGCCGTAGCCTCTTCCCTCGCCGACGTGACATTAAGCCTGCAGCGCGTGCATTTCGGACGCGCTCCGGACAAGTGGTACCCTTGCTTAGATGCAGCCACTATTGCGGCGTCTGCTACAGGAGAGCTACTGCTATGATTGAGTGAAGTTTGGGGAAACAAGAAATCACAGCCCCGCATCATAAAGCCCGTCATACCTGGATGGCTGATGAACGATAGTCCTCGGTTGTATCTGTCACGAGAGGCAGTTGTGTCGAAATACTTAAGACACGGGCTTCAGAAAGCTGCTGACCTTCTCTTCAGTCACCAGGCAGCCTCGGATCGGTAGCCCAAGCTCCTGGGCCTAACGAAGACGACGCGGCCTCACACGAATTGTAATGTACCCTGCTGCAGCTCGTGCTGCAACGCAACTCCATGTATCTGCACAGCTGCAACGAAACTCCACATGCATCAACAATCAAGCCCTACAGCCACATGCGCTAACAGAATAGAAAATTGTTGAGCGTATACTTGGATTTCATCGGTCAACCTAAACGCACGTAGGAACATACAGACCAACCTCACACGGGCAATACTGCAGTTGACAAAGGTACAGGCTCTGTTCATGAATTGCCTTCATCCTACCGCCACATGCGCTAACAGAATAGAAAATTGTTGAGCGTATACTTGGATTTCATCGGTCAACCTACACGCACGTAGGGACATACAGACCAACCTCACACGGGCAATACTGCAGTTGACAAAGGTACAGGCTCTGTTCATGAATTGCCTTCTCGGTAAAAGCACCGGTTCGGTGCGGTTGCAGGAGGTTATGCAACGGTGAGGCTGATGCTGTTTTGCTCTTCTGCAGTTTCTGCATGTATTTGTGGTTGCTTGAAGATTCGTTACTGAGGTTCAAGTAAATGTGTGACAATTGTAAGCAGTGTTAGTGCATCCATCATACGGGTCCTTCGGTATGGTTACAGGTGTGGTTGCCCTCTCCCAGGAGTTGCAACACGGTGTGTTGCAGCAGGACAGGCCAGCTGCTCTTCGTACCAGCTTCAGCCCCTTGAGCAGCTGCGCTTACGACTGCCAGCAGCAAACGCTGAGAAACACTCTCAAACCCCGACCCTTCCAAAGCCTTCCAATTCGCGAAAGGATGTGGACGGATATCTCAATGGATTTCATAGCGGGCTTACCACCAGTCAGGGGCCATGAGAGTATCTGTCGTTCTCGATCGACTAGCAAATACGCTCTTTTTATTCCCTATCCGATTACAGTCACTGCGGAAGGAGTGGCTCAACAATTCATTAATCGTGTGTCAAATTCCCACGATTTCCCATAAAGCATCGTTATCCACAGGGATCCGAACTTCATTAGCGCTTTCTGGCGCAGCCGCGTGCAACGGCCCAATACTGACCTCAACGTGGCCACGGCCAACCATCCGGTGGCAGATGGTCAGACCGAAAGAACTAACCGCACGCCGGTGCAGTATTTGCGCGTTTACACCTAACAGAACCCATCTAACTGGCTTGATTTTCTTGCTTGTGCAGTTTGGGTATATAATACTGCAGTGCACTCTTTAACTCGTTGCTCCTCAGAATCCCTGGCCTATACAAAAAGCTGACCCTACGCTGGATCCCGCTGTTGAAAGCCAACCTCGAATGAGCTCGATTCCTCACTTCCGCACACAGTCCGCAGCAGCGCGCTAGTCCATGAGAGAGGTGCAGGAACGCCAAGCCAGAAACTACGACAAGAGACGTTGAGAGCTCATTTCGGACCCAGATGAGTTGGTTCTAGTAAATTCGCATGCTCTCCGTAGCGCGCAGGAGGGCGAGCAAACCAAAAACTTCGCCACACGATGGGTTCTGCCTTTCGCTGCCCGCTCTCCTGTCAATGCGTTGGCGTGCATCATTGACTTACGTTCATCGTGGAGATGCCATCACAATATTAACATCGGCTTCTGAAAAGTGTTTCGGTAACATCGCGGTTTCCCTCGCACACTGGTGTGGAAACAACAGCAACGCCATCGTGAGAACCCAGGCGTAGATGATACAAAGATTCTAGAAGCACGGAATACCGCTAGCAGAGGCCATAGGAGACGATAATACTACGTAAAATTGCCGGGAAACTGTGAACATGAGTGGGTTTCAGAAGATCCTGTGCGCAACGCGATCACCCCGGAGCATTTCGCAGCTCTTCGGAGCCCCCCTTCGAAGATCGTCAGCGTCGGTTTCTCGACAGAACATGATTCTGGGTCCTTGGTAATTTGTGGGCTGCTCACAAGGCATGAAATGACATGGTTGGGAAACCTTATATTGTTTTGGTCTAGGCGTGATCATTGCTTCTCACGTAATCGTTGCAGCGCCTGCCAGATGTGCTGCATGCTCTCCTGCATATTTCGGCTGAGCGCAAGCACATCATCCACGTATATTACCATCCAGCCCTGAGTGATTTGCCCCACGAAGCTGTCTTTGACCTGCCGCTTCAGTTTGCCAGCTGCATTCACAAATATTATATACACAAGTGCATACAGGTGTACTACAGATTGCTAGTCTGGCTCTGGAACGCGGTCTTGTGCCTGTCCTCCGGATGAATTTGGATCTGTAAAGATGCCTCAGCGAACTGAGATGCCGAGTATACCGCTGAACACCTTAAGCGGTCAAACATTTCGTCGGCGCTGGTCATCGGAAACTTTTGTTTAACAGTGATTTTGTTGAAGTTCTTGAAGTCGACGCAGATGCCCCACCCGCCGTTCTTTTTCTTCGTCAGCATGGGATTGTGCCCAAAGGCAATATTTTACGGCTGATCCTTGCCTTTTCTTAGAATTTTATCCGCATGCCGTTCAATTTCCCCTTCGAGGTGGGGGGTCGCCGGTACCTTTGGGCTGCGCCGGGAATGAGTTCGATTGGGTGCATTGAGAATCCAGCGGGTGGCCTGCAGGCCGGTAGCTCCTTGTTATTGAGTACATCTGAGAACTCTCCCTCCAATTTTTCCAACTTCTTCTGCGCCTCCGTGTTCAGTTGATCGAATTCCTCAAGAATCTTTACCAGACCGTTACGACGGGGTGGTGCATGCACATCTCCGTCGTTCCCTTCATTGCGTATGCACTGTATGGGAGCCTCCTCGCTCCGCTTTCCTTGGGACACAGTTTCCAGTCCTCTGTCCATAGAAGATGCAAATGCTGTTGGGAGCGCTGAGAGCTGCATACTCGCATCAGTTCCTGGTAGAAAGACCTCTATGGCGTCATCAGCGGAAAGCATTTGCGCCTTCCACTGGGTCACCCACGGCACGCTTACGATTATCTCGTGGTGAACTGGTCCAGCGAAGAAAACCTTCGTCATATTAGTCTGCTTGGTTTTGTAACCAAGAGAGCATTTTACTCCTGTATTTTTGCCGATTCTTGTATCCTGCCTGCCGTCCACGAAGCTTAGCCTCAGAGATTACCCCAATGAAGAGAAGGTTAGGCTGCACCTCCTTCCTATGGCTTCTGATATCGGATCTACTTCGCATCTCCTACCGAGTAGGGCAAGTAATACCTGGCCTTTCATGCATACTTGTACAATTGAATTGAC